ATGGAGATGCTGATTTGATTTTCCAGCAAGATTAACACCTTCCCAGACTACCAAAAATAATATAAGTCTTGGTATAAGGACCATGGTTTGCCTGTGTTTAACTGATCAGCAAACTTGCCCATCTTTAATCTCATAGAGAATCTATGGAATCTTTTGAAAAGGAAGATGTGAGACACCAAACCCAACAACACAGAAAAGTGGAAGACCACTATCAGAGCAACCTGGGATTCATAACACCTCAGCAATGCCACAGACTGATCGTCTCCATGCCACAGTTGGTTTTATATTCACATTTTGGATATTCTCTTTAATAATATAATTTCAGAAAAGTATTATTTTTTATTTAAAGTAGCTGAAGTCATATTGGCAGACAATGACTATCAAAGTACATCATTGTTCACAGTCAATTAAATAGTGCTGATGTTGTTTTGAGTAATATTTGCATGCGATTTCAGACTGAATAGTCAAAGTAGAGTTATAACCAATATGGGGACGTTTTAAATCGAATAATCAAATATAAAACAGACTTTACCAAGTGTTGAGTGCTTTACATGTTCATACATTTCATTAGTCCAATATTTCTGTCAAAATTTTTTTTATTATTATTTGTTTATGAGTTTTCATGATCTTTAATCAAAATAAAATAAATAGATAAATAAATAAGGTAACACTTTATTTTGATGGTCCATTTGAGTATTAGTAGACTGATCTTGCTCCTTCAACCAACATTTAACTGACTATAAGAAACTTTGCAAGTACATGTCAGCTTATACTAACCCTAACCCCGAGCTAACAGTTTACGTATAATCTAATGAGAATTAGTTGGCATGTAATGTAACTTAAAACCAACAAACACACCATCAAAATAAAATGTGACCAAATAAACACTTGAAATATATTAATGAGTATTATAAACCTATGTAATTTGAGTTTCACTTTTTGAATTGAATTACTGAAATGAATACATTTTTTTATTCTATTTATTGAGATGCAGCTGTTGATGTCAAAGCTAAATGAATACATGACACTTTACAAATATTTTACCCATTTTAATAATCTTGATTCTTCTTTATCACTGACATTATGTTTGAGTCTATTTCTTTTCTACACTTTTATCAGATTTATGAATGTGATATGACCAGATAAATCACCTCTCCACTTCAGCTCTCAGTGCTCCTCTCAGGTTCTTCTCCTTCTGCGAGTCTGAAAAACAATTCAAGAAAATACTCAAATGCAAAATGTAAAAGTTTTGCCATGTCAGCCCACTGTAAGCAAAACTAAAGATATGTTTGTAAGCAAAATGGGCCCACGAGCTTATTAATGTACTGAGATACACATATGACTTTAAATTATATTCAAATATTGCTGCCTGAACTCCGAGAAGCTTCTCACCTGCATAAACAGAGTTCTTGTCAATTCCTTGATCTTCATCTCCAACAATATGAACCTTTCTTCCTGTGTTTTGTGTGAAGTAGTCTCTGAGTTCCTGTGCTCGTCTGGTTTTACCACTGCACGGGTATCCACACATCAATATTAAAGGCATTTTAGCGCAAAAGAAATAAAAAAAACTAAAATCTATACCATGCTTATGTACACAGTAATGTTACACGGGAGATGATGTTCTTCTTCGCGCTCGTAGAATGTCGTAAGATTAGTGCGCTGCTGCCCTCTACAGGTCACTGGTGAAAAGGCGACAGATTTTTTTTTATTAGACAGTCGACGTATAATCACTGCTAAGGTCTTTGAAACCGATGCCATTACACTTTACATGTACTTACATTTATCTGAGTGATCTGAGGTAGGTGAATCAATTTATAGAGCCTACTGGGAAAGCTATGCCCCTGGGGATTTTTGGGAACTAGGAGTTCTGAGGTGAGTGAATATGTAAATATAAGTGTAAATATGATTTATTTGTCAAAATATTTTTAATTTAAGACATTTATTCATAAGAAATATTATTTGTCTATTTTTAATATGTTGTCAAATGTGGTTTGGGACTTGAAAGAAATACATTTACTTCAAATGTTAATCTAGTGCAGGGGTCCCTGCAGGGTTTAGCTCCAACTTGCCTCAACACACCTGCCTGGATGTTTCAAGTATACCCAGTAAGACCTTGATTAGCTTGTTCAGGTGTGTTCGATTAGGGTTGGAGCTAAAATCTGCAGGACACCGGCCCTCCAGGAACAAGTTTGGTGACCACTGATCTAGTGTGAGTGACGTGCTTTGCTACAATATTCAAATATACCAAACATTTTTGCAAAAATGTATTAAGTATATTTAGTGGTATAATTCCTGATGTTATGTTAAAATATGAAAATGATATTTTAAGATATAACCATCAGAATAAACATCCAGATGCTTTTTATTTATTTAATCTTATTATATTTTTGGCCAAACATTTTATTCACAAGTGTAAATTTTGTAAGTGTAAACCTTTCTTTCAGATTTTTCTTGAAGTTCTAAATCTTTATATGAAGCTGAAACTGTGAATCTGTTTAAAAGATAAATTTTGGTTTTGCTCCCTGGCATGTAATGTGATATAATGTAAATGTTTCATTTTGTTATAATAATAAAAAAAATTAAAAAATACATAGAAAAAGGAAAGCCCCACCCTTCAGCATCTTCCTGATCACTTCCTCACAACCTCCCCACACCCCCACCTCCACTGCAATGATGATTTCATGTTCATCCATGGTTTTATTTAGCTGCAAGTAGTTACCATGTTTTTAGTGCATTAATCATTTTTATAGTGTGTTTGGCATGATTCAACTTAAACTAGCTTAGCAAAATCATTGTAAACTTGTTTTACTACAAGTTTTAATACATGGTTATATACAATATTTTTTCTGTAGTAAAACGATGGTTAATTTTTTGTAAAGGACTGAACACTGAATGCAGACCTGGTCCAGATGCAATCTGAGCTGCATGTAAAGCCTTTTAATAAACTCACCTAACCCCACCCCTTACAGTGATGTCACTGGCTCCACTGAGTGCATTGTGTCTGACATTGCATCATTTCCAAACAGTTGTCACAGTTATGCCTAGGAGGAAAATCTATTCTTAGTAAAGAATGCAATAATAAGTTCATTTGTCAAGTGTCCCGGTCACAAAGCCTAATTACTCCTAGAGGAAAGTTTTATTGGGGTTCTATAATTGTTTCATTCAATGGAGGAAAACATTATCATTACCATATACATTTTGTATTCCGAATAAAATGTAAAGAGGTGCTCTTTAAAATTTTGCACAATATTTACCCCTGTAATGCACTCTTGTTCAAACATTGTGATGTTACTGATATTTGCACCTTTTGTAAAAATGAGTGTGATTTGTCACTTTTTTTTTTCATGCAATGTATCATCATTGTTTGGAATGATTTCAGTTCATATTGATTTGATATAAATGGTAATTTGCACTTTAAGGATGTTATTTGGGGTGACGCAGTGGTCCAGTAGGTAGTGTAGTGCTGTCGTCTCACAGCAAGAAGGTCGCTGGTTAGAGCCTTGGCTGGGTCAGTTGGCATTTCTGTGTGGAGTTTGCATGTTCTCCCCGCGTTTGCGTGGGTTTCCTCCGGGTGCTCCGCTTTCCCCCACACTCCAAAGACATACGGTATGAGGTGAATTGGAAAAGCTAAATTGTCCATAGTGTATGAGTGTGTATGGATGTTTCCCAGAGATGGGTTGCAGCTGGAAGGGGATCTGCTGCATAAAACATGCTCTATAAGTTGGCGGTTCATTCCGCTGTGGCAACCCCTGATTAATAAAGGGACGTATTAAAGGGATGTTATTTGTTATTTTAAGAAACAAAAACAAGTCAGAAACAGATTAACAGTGGTTTCTTAAAAAAAGCTGTTTTTATAGACTTCTTATGTGAAATAGAAACATGTAATTAACTCACTTAAATTAATTGATAATAAGAAATGTGCTTCTTTCTTGAGTAAATATGCAACTTGAAACTAACAAGTGATATTGATGATTTTTTTAAGTATGGAGATTTGCCAAATAAAAGACTTTATTTGATGTACCTTTTTTTAATTAAATAAAGTGATTTTGGGGGGAAGGGTGTGGAGGGAAGGGGTATAAATTCTTATTTTACCCTTTTAGAAAAGTTGAAAATCAGCAGAACATCTTATATTAATGCCATAAATGGCACATGTATTGCAAAAATAATATCTGACTACTTCTGTTTTCCAATACAAATGTCTAAACATATTTAAATCAAGATACATTTGCTCAAACTTCAATAAGATGAAATTTAAGCTAAGTCAGATAAGGCGTAAAAGAAGAACAAAAATAGTTTTCTGTTTGAATTAAGATTTTTCAGAGGAACATATAGATATTTGTTTGATGTAACCATAAAGTTGCAACATTTTGATCAATTTTACAAAGAAGACTTACATGTAAATGCATCTTTGATTAAAGAATCGTATAACAGTTGAACTAGAAATGACACAAAAACACTGAAGTAAACACTTATATGTCATATTTATATATTGATTAACATAAGTGCCGCATTCATAAATGTGCACAAACACACAGACACACACCACAAAACAAACACACACAGAGCTGATCTGAGGGTAAGCTGTATTGTAATAATGAATTTCAGTAAGCTTTATTGATGTTAATGTTGCATTATTGTTAATTTGTTTTTCTAAAATTGTCACAATATAATATTGTATTCTATTATGATTTATTGTACTGCCCTTGTGATAATTTGATATCCAAATATGCTAATATATGTTGATAGTGCTCATTGTAAATTACTTAAATTACTATCCAATGAGAGTTTTAAAGGTTAAGGTTCCTTACCTCTGTGTAGCAAACCCAAGGGAAGGATAAGCGGCTCTCAGTGGGAGCTTTTTACTGTAATTGGAGTATGATTCCACTGTTGTTTTGTTTCTATGAAATTTCTGCTTAGTCATAATTAAAAAAAAATCTTTAGGTGCAACTGATTACATCTGTAACTTTCCACAGTACAGGCATGATAAAGCAAAATGAGGCTGATTTGCAGTTTCATATTTATTTTTCAAAATACAGATTTGTTTAATAACTTACTTAACACATTCACTCATCTATTAATCAATTCACTCACTCATCCGATCATTCGGATATTCAGACAGACATCTGAATGCAAAATATTGATTTGCCTTCATAACATTTGACACTTTCTGCTGCCAAAATACATCATTAATAAGTATTTAACAAACATTAAAAGCAGACTTGCATATACATTTGGTACACAATGTTAAGGTTTGTCAATTTTATTACATTTAAATCCATTGCACTTTCGCTATAAATTTACTTTTTCAATTAAGTTTTTCATAAGCTTTACCATGAAGTCTTTATCCTGAAAAAAAAGAATAAATAAAATGCATCACAATTTACATTCAATTAACTATTCACATCCTGTTGGCCAATTCTTTAAATATCTCTCTAATCACCTGATTATAAACATCTCGTGTCCTTTTTGGATCTTCAAGCTGAGCCTGAAGAGCAATTTTCAGCATCTCCTGAGTGATGAGCTCCTTCAAATCCTCTGAACTCCCTGATTCTCCCATAATATTCCTATCTGGTTTTACGGGGAACGGGGAATCCTGGAGCTGGCTGTTTGAAATGCTCTTTTTGCCCATAAAATGACCTGAACAAAAGAACTCAATCGTTTAAGTAATGGTTTTCATTTTAATATAAAAATACACAATGAAACAACAACGTACCTGTTGCCCAAAGATTTCCACGTGGATGCACTTTTATTTTCGAAACTTTATTTCGCAGCTCCGTTAAATCGAGACTGACTGAAGTGCTCAGTGATACGTTGAAAAGCATTATGAGCGCGAATAACAATGTATATTTGCAATGTCCATCATCAGCCATCTTCTCAGGTAACTCTCGGCGGATTCCTCCGGTCAGATTGAGCTGGTTCTTCTGCAGGCTGTTTTTATACCCCCTCAATGGGGTGTGATGCCGGCGGGTTCTGAGGTCACAGTTTAGTCATTGAATGCACACAGAACGACAGCAAGTGTTTGGTCTGTTTGGATGAGGATGGGAAACGCTTTGTGACGTGCGTTGGCTGTGCGCGCATGCAGTTTAATGGAATTAATAGAATGGAAAATCGTTTTGAGGCGTCGAAATCAATCTTACATTTCAATAGTTATGAGTCGCATGTGTGAATATGTACCGTGGTTCTGAGGAACTATATGACTCATTGTTAATAAGATTTTACAGTAAAGTTTAATTTGGCTACATTAGTTCACCCAAAACTGAACATTTGTCATCCTTTACTAACTCTTTACTTGTTCCACCTGTCTGAGTTATTTCAAGAAGATATTTTTAATAAAAGGTGAAAACTGGCCTAACAATTTACTTGGATAGTGGGCTATTTGTTTTTTCTACTGTGGAAGTCAGTGGTTTACATGTATTTTTAACCCTTTAACTGCATGCTCTACCAAATGCTTAACCATATTTTGACTGTTTTACAAAACGGTTTACACTACACGGCAGTTTGTTTAAAAAAAAAAAAAAAAAAAAAAAAAACAATCCCGTTGCACTACTACACTTGACTTTGTTTATTGTAAAAAATTTTTTTAATAACAATTACATAAAAAAACAATATAAACAATAAAAAAAACATCTTTTTAGTCCCTTTATTCATCAGGGGTCGCCACAGCGGAATGAACTGCCAGCTTATCCAGCATATGTTTTGCACAGCGGATGACCTTCCAGCCGCAACTCAGCTCTGGGAAGCATCCATTCAGCATGTTAAATGAGAATCTGAAATATTTGATGGCATACTTTAAAAAATAAAGATGATTTATTATTCAAAAACATTTCATTTTCATTGTTTTTAAATAAATTGATCGTACACTCTTACGTCAATTTTTCTGATTTTTCCTAGCATATGTATTCATTTTGGTACTTTACTATAAACCAACATATCTACCATTTGGTAGAGGTTGATATTTAAAAAAAATATGGGTTAAGCGTGCAAAAAAATAAAACTCTTTGCGGGCCAGGTAAAGGGTTAAAATATCTTTGTGTTGAACAGAAGAAACTGATAAAGGTTATAGTGAATAAAGGTTATTGTGAGTAAATTGTAATTTTTGGGTGAAATATGTGAATAATGTGTAACAAGGAAAAATAGGTTACAGGTCTGTTAGTGATTTTTTAAAAAGAACATTTACTCTCAATTTACTCAAATAGTTTCATACACTCATGGTTTTATTTTGTTATTTTGAAAAAAAAAAACACACACACAAGAGGATATTTTAAGGGGATAACTTTCAAAGCAGGAAAAATATAGAAGTCAATGGCCACCATTTTTCAACATTATTCAAAATCTAATCTTTCATGTTTTTAAAAACAGGTTCGAAAGAAGTGGGAGTAAATTCTGTCAGAGTTTTCTTTTTTTTGGGTGATTTATTCCTTTAATTTTTTCAATTTACAATCAATACTACAACTTTTAAACTAACGCTGTATATTATGTAATGGACATGAGCTTATTATCTTGTAATGTTTGTGAAAGGTAGTTCTCCCCAAAATGAACTGTTATTCACCATTTAAGAATCACAAGAGATTTCAACCTTTTTAGAGGGTTTTTTTCTTCTTCTGTTGAACATATTATTTTTAAAAAAATATTTTGAAGAACTCTTGAGCGCAGACAGCTATTGACCTCAATTGGAGAAGAAAAAAAATGTTATGGAAGTCAATGGCTCCCATTTCCCCCCACTTTCTTCAATTTCTCTCACATGCTGTAAACAACAATAACTAATGAAACCATATTAGAAAGTGTTAACATTACTGAATACAATAATTAAGTTTTTGTGAACAATACCTAGCTGAATGATCAGATACTAATCTGAACCAGCTAAAATTACCATTTATTTAAAGAATATACCATTTTCTTTTTCTATAAAAAAATGTTTTTAATTCGATGTGCAAAACTCTCTCTTTATGACAATATAGCATTTTCATTGTACTAGCATACAGTTTTGGAATAAAATATAATTGTTTTTATTTTAAATTTGATATTCTCTGTCTGTTGTTTAAAAGATATGGCAGCGACTCCAAACATAGTACATTAATAATGATACAAAATGACTTTAAAAGAAAGAAACTAACACACTTTCAAAATTGGCTGAACAGTTTTATTCATTACAAAATTTGTAGCCTTTAAGAAAGAGTTAGACAGATGTATGGAGCACGTACAGCTGTAAAGTCAAATCAAACAAAAAACGAATTTGGTATGACATGGAAAAAAGGAACAAATACAAACTCATCCGGTACTTCTTGTGTTTGCACTGTCACTGAACAGAGAAAATGATAACTTGACCTTTATCTCTAAGAGCAAGTGCAGGACTTTCACAAAAATAAACAGCATAAAAACATGTCACAAAAGGGATGTGTGTTCCCTGACCGTGTTTCTCTTGAAATTCTTCATTCTCGGTGTACCAAAACAAACAGCCCCAGCAAACAGAGTACAGCATACTGTCGAAATGAACAAAAAACAAGAGTTAGACCAAATGCAAAGTAGGACATTATTAATTCAATATTTCAAAGTATACCTTAAATTTGGGGTAGTCGTTCATCAAAATTGTCACAATTCCGATGTAAGGCACAAACCTGTCAGAAGAAGAAATAAAAAAAATTTTCCCCAATGGAATGAAAAAACCCCCCCAAAAAAAACAAAAACAAAAAAAAAAAACAGTCAAACACTGCATCCCAAATGATACATTATACACTATACACTGTGTACTTAAGCACTTAACTGCTCAAAAGCGTACTATATGAATTAAGTGTTGTCCCAATTGGAACAATTTTGGTATTGGAATGTATTTTTACTAATAAGAAATTCAAACCATTTCCCAGATGACGTTTGACAGCTACAAAATTAGTGAATTCAGGGCTCGGAATTAACCTTAGTGCTTGATGGCACTGGTGCTCCTAACTTTAAAAATGTAGTCGCACCAAACAAAATTTAGCTGCATTAACAGAGAATTACATAATAACAGATTTATTCCATTTAAAATCAACACTAATCGAATCTAATTATCTGCTGTTACCTGCAAACTCAATCTCACCGGCTTTACAGTGAATGCTTTAGTCATTTTCATAGTGGACTTTAACCAATAGAAGTCTTTTATCCACTCTTCAAAAAGTGTAAATGGTGGATAAACATTCACCACATGATCACTAATCAGATGTAGAATTATTTGTAACTTTAGGTGGTTTTTAAAACAAAATCTGTCAGTGTTGTTTCCTTTTCTCATCTTCAGCTTACATTTTCCCAGTTGTAACTCCCTGTCATCTGTTGGCAGAAGGCGTTGACTAAGTGATTGACAGCTGATATTAACCAATCCATTCGAGTTCAATTCTAGAGCTGTGGGCCAATCAGAAAAGCTTATGCGACCAAAATGGTTGCAATGTCGGGCCTTGGAATGTGATAAATACTACTAAATAGTACCTACCCTGAGTACAACCGCATTCACCATCAGGAGGTGGCATAGTCACTTACGTCAGGGATATCAAACTCAATTCCTGGAGGGCCGAAGCCCTGCACAGATTATTTCCAACCCTGCTCCAACACACTTATCTGTAGGTTTCAAACAAGCCTGAAGGACTCAATTAGTTTGATCAGGTGTGTTTAATTAGGGTTGGAACTAAACTGTGCAGTGCTGCGGCCCTTTTGGAACTGAGTTTGACACCTGTGACTTACGTAGAAGAAATTTGCTTCACAATCCAAAATAATTTAAGTAATTCAACGCAAGTGTTCGATTGCTCCGCTAGGGATGTCACAATACTGGAATTTGGTACCTATGAATACTGATATTTTAAAAACATCCATTTCCAACTAATATTTGAGTGCTGTTGAGCATGTTCTAAAACGTTGCTGATTTGCCATTGTGTTCACATACACAACAGAAATTACTGTGATGGGCCGTGACGGTCATCAGTACACCAAACTCTTCGTATAAACACAAATACAGGCACACTGGAGCGTTTCAAAGTCACATTGATTAGCTGGTTTGTCTGTAAGCTGTTATAAGAGTGATCCGCTGATGAATCGCAGCTTTAAAATGCTCCATTAATTAAGGACAATTAAGGACATTTCTGTTGAGCTGTGTTTAATAATGTGCTCAACAGCTCTGAAATGCTAGTGGGAAATTAATGACTTTAAAATGTTTGTATCGATTGGTACCGAATTCTAGTATCGAAACAACTCTAATCTCTGCCCCTTCCACTTTGTAAGCAAAGCTGCAGCCGATGAGTGATGTTAAAGAACTGCATCATATGGGTACAGTGCACTTGAATATTTAATGAATATTTGACTAAATATAAAATGAATATTTTAGTTTGAAGGCACTATTTGTACTATTTACACTTCAAAATGGTGTAGAATAGTGCATAAGTATGCAATTTGGGATGCACCTAAACATCTGAACAATACAAAAATACAGCATATTGGGTTTTGATCTTACCCTCTTGCTCTGCCCACCACATCCTTCTTCTCCAACCAGTGCTGTCCTTGCTTATAAAGGCCTCTGTCATCCACAGAATTATTGTCACCTTTTGTCAAGAACTTGATATCGCCATTTTCTCTGAAATTAATATGAATAAATGTTACTGGAAAGAACAAAGCATGAAAACCAATCAAACTACACACATCATGATATGCAACTATACTACATACAACTATAATTAAACTGACAGGAATGCAAACTCATTAGGGGTTAAAAAGGGTGACAGATGTGAGTCTTCCACCCCCTGTTAAAAAAATGAGCAGATGTGCAGCTTTGTTGTTACGTCATTGTTTTTCCACTGGTGTTAGCTACTTTCAAAGCAAACAATACAAGAAAGCCCTTATTTGTTGCTTAGAAACGGTCGTGTTAAAGGGTTAGATCACCCAAAATTGAAAATTATGTCATTAATTACTCGGCCACATGTCGTTTCAATCTCCTGAGACCTTTGTTTATCTTCAGAAACACAAATTAAGATAGTTTATATGAAATCCGAGAGCTCTCTGATCCTCCATAGATTGCAACAGTCCCAAAATATTAAAAGTACAGTTGTAGTCAAAATTATTAGCCCCCCTGTTTATTTTTTACCCAATTTCTGTTTAACAGGGGGAAAGATTGTTTCAGCACATTTCTTAACATAATAGTTTTAAAAACTTATTTCTAATAACTGATTTATTTTATCTTTGTCATGATGACAGTAAATATTTATAGTAATATAGTATACACTAGATATTTTTCAAGACACTTCTATACAGCTTAAAGTGCCATTTAAAGGCTAAACTAGGTGAATTAGGTTAACTACGCAGGTTAGGGTAATTAGGTAAGTTATTGTACAATGATGGTTTGTTCTGTAGACTATCAAAAAAAAATTAG